CGCCCTCAATCCGTGAAGCTCTTGCAAAGTTCTAAACGTATGCGCGAGGCGCTGGGGCGAGAGCCACATTTGAAAACCATCCGACCTCAATCCGTCAAGCTCTTGTAAATGTTCAAGCGAAGGTGCGCGCCGCTAAAGCGAGAGCCACATTTTGAAAACCACCTGCCCACAGTCCGTGAAGCTCTCGCAACTGTTTAAAACGAGTGTGCTCGGCGCTGGGGCCAGAGCCACATTTGAGGGAGCGCGATCCACCGCGGCTGTGCTGAACAAGAATCCCTGAGGGGGGGTCAAAGAACCGGGGGGGCTCCCCCCCCGAACAAATCGCTGAGGGGGAGTCGGAAACCGGGGGAACCCTCCCCCCTAACTCCCCCCCTGCACAACCGCCCCCTCCCCCCTCCCCCCTCCCCGGGCCCCCCCAGGAGATTTCGACCCCCCCCCCTCTCCAGGCCCCCCTGGGGGGTTTCTCCCCCCCCCTACTCGCCGCTGGCAGACGACGACGACGCCGCCGACGACGACGACGACGACGACGACGACGGCGGCGGCGGCGACGAACGACGACGACGACGACGACATCGACGACGACGACACATTCTTGCCCCGCGGGGGGGGCTTTGAATCCCCACCCCCAGGCCCACCCGGGGGGTTTCGAACCCCTCCCTCTACTATTCGCCGCCGGCAAACGACGACGAGGACGACGACAACGACGACGACGACAACAACTATGTTATCGACGACGACGACGAGGACGACGACGACGACGACACGACGAAACAACGACGACGAAGACGACGACGACGAAGACGACGACGACGCCGACGACGGGCGGACCCTATCGGACGGGGCGGGTGGGCGGACCCTATCGGGCTGGTGATGTCGGGCGGGCGGGACACTAAAATCTGATGCGTTTACAGCATGACACATCAGAACCCTAACGGGCGGGTCGGGACGGGCGGACCCTATCGGGCGGGTCGGGTCGGGCGGGCGGGACACTAAAGTCTGATGCGTATAGAGAATGACACACGAGAACCCTATCGGGCGGGTCGGGACGGGCGGACCCTGTCGGGCGGGTCAGGCGGGCGGACCCTAACGGGCGGGTCGGGTCGGGCGGGCGGGACACTAAAGTCTGATGCGTGTACAGTATGACATATGCGAGCCCTAACGGGGGACGGACCTTATCGGGCGAGTCGGGCGGGCTGACCCTATCGGTCGGGTCGGGTCGGGCGGGCGGTACACTGAAGTCATCTTCCTGTACACCATGACACATGAGAACCTTAGGGGCGGGTCTGGATGGGCATACCCTATCGGGCGGGTCGGGTTGGGCGGGCGGGACATTGAAGTCTTATGCGTATACACCATGACTTATGAGAACCTTAATGGGCGGCTCGGGACGGGCGGACGCTATCGGGTGGGTCGGGCGGGCGAACCCTATCCGGCGTGTCGGGTCGGGCACGCGGGACACTAAAGTTTGATGCGTCTACAGCATGACACATGAGAGCCCTAACGGGCGGGTCGGGCGGGCGGACCATATCGTGCGGGTCGGGTCGGGCATGCGGGACACTAAAGTTTGATGCGTATAAAGCATGACACATGAGAACCTTAAAGGCGGGTTGGGATGGGCGGACCCTATCGGGCGGGTCCTATCGGGCGGGTGGGTTTGGGCGGGCGCGACATTGAAATCTGATGCGTATGCAGCATGACACATGAGAGCCCTATCGGGCGGCTCGGAACGGGCGGACGCTATCGGGTGGGTCGGGCGGGCGAACCCTATCCGGCGTGTCGGGTCGGGCACGCGGGACACTAAAGTTTGATGCGTTTACAGTATGACACATGAGAGCCCTAACGGGCGGGTCGGGACGGGCGGACCCTATCGGGCGGGGCGGGACGGGACGGCCGGACCCTATCGGGCGGGGTCGGGCGGGTGGATCCTAACGGGCGGTCGGGTCGGGCGGGCGGGACACTAAAGTCTGATGCGTATAGAGCATGACACATGAGAGCCCTATCGGGCGGGTCGGGACGGGCGGACCCAATCGGGCGGGTCGGGCGGGCTGACCCTATCGGGCCGTTCGGGTCGGGCGGGCGGGACACTAAAATCAGATGCGTGTACACCACGACACATGAGAGCCTCGACGGGCGGGTCGGGACGGGCGGATGCTATCGGGCGGGTCGGGCGGACCCTATCGGGCGGATCGGGTCGGGCGGAGGAGACACCGTACTGTGATGCGTATACCGCATGCCACGTGAGCGCCCCATCGGGCGGGCCGAGACGGGCGGACCCTATCGGGCGGGTCGGGTCGGGCGGGCGAGGCACAAAAGTCTGCTGCGTATCAAGCATGACACATGAGAACCCTGACGGGCGGGTCGGGACGGGCGGACGCTATCGGGCGGGTCGGGCGGGCTGACCCTATCGGTCGGGTCGGGTCGGGTCGGGCGGGCGGGAATCTAAAGTCTGATGCGTATACAGCAGTCTGCTTCCTCTCTCCTCCTCCTCCTCCTCCTCCTC